TACTATCAGTGTATTTAAAATTTTTAAGTTTATATATGTGTGCGTCCACACAATATGAAATTGTTTGATGTTTTTTTTTGTTGGTTTTTAAAAATTTTTTTTTAATTGATTTTAGATAGAGAGGAAAGGAGGGGAGAGAGAGAGAGAGAGAAACATTGATGGATCGGCTGCCTCCTGCACTCCTGCAACCCGGGCATGTGCCCTGACAGAATTTCACCTGCCGCCTGTTGGTGCAGGCGTGGGGCAGTGTTCCACCAACTGAGCCACAGCCCCTGAGCTGAAATTGTTTTGTTTTACAACTTTCCATAAATGACAACATAATGGCTTTTGTTCTCTTCTGAAGTTTCTGAAATGTACCACTGTTTGTACATGTGGACCCTATTTTACTCACCTGACTGTTTCTTGTATCAGTTTATATAAATATAGTACACTTTATTTTTCCTATTTATGGGTATTTAGATGTTTTCTAATATTTATTATAACAAATAGGCCTATACTGAACCCCTTTTATATGCTTCTTTCTACGTATTACATATGTGTTTTTTTGGGCTGTCTAGATGTGAAATTCCTGGCTGACAGGTTTTCAACACTTTAACGATACTAGATAACGCCTATTGCCCCTTAGGATGTAGTACTAATGCCTGCTAATAACAACAGTGGTAAACATTTCAACTTTCCTAGATTTTCAATAGCACTTGGTATTATCAGCTATATCCCCATTTAAATTTTTATCTCCTTCAATTATCTTTTAAAAAATTAACTCCATTTAAAATATATTTATTTCTGGGTATCATATAGCTTTTTGCAATTCTAAATATTTTGACTATATTTTCTAATTGGTTATCACTTGTGTATAGAAATGTTATTGCTTTTTGTATATTGATTCTCATATTCTGCAATCCAGTAGCATACTCTTCTGGGTTCAATATTTTCTTCATAAAGTATATACATCACTAAGCAGTTTTTTCAATGAAGTTGGATTGTGAGTAGGAAACACTAACAATAATATGATATTTGTCTGTAGTTTTAAATTTATTTTCTCTACCTTGACTGGTGGGCAGGTTTTCTACTGTGAGCCCTGGTGGTGGATTTCTTATCTTCTTCAAACTGAGGATGTATAATTAAAAATAAATAAATTTAATTCTCACCAAGGATATGTTTATTGATTTGAGAGAGAGGGGAAGAGGGAGAGAGAGAAAGAGAGAGAGAAAGAAACATCAAAGTGAGAGAGAAACATCAATCGGTTGTCTCCCATCCACACTGGACGGCCTCCCATACAGATTTTTGTTGTATAGGATGATGCTCCAACCAACTGAGATACCTGGCCAGGGTTAATTTATTTTTAATTTTTAGTAATTATTTTCTCCATTATTTCTTGAATATTGTTTCTCCCCAATTTTATCGAATCTCTTCTTTGACAACTCTTGATAAATTTATATTTCATTTTATCACTCTATCAGCCATGCCACTTAGCATCTCATAGTTTTATTTCTTTATCTCCCTACATCAATTCATAGTTAATTTCCTTATAGTCCATATCTCTGATTCTCCATCCAGCAGTTTCTAAGCTCTTGTTCAAGCAAGCATTCATTGAATTTTAAATTTCAAGGACTCTGTATATTTTTTATTTTTAGAAGTAAATCTTATTGATTTATTTTCCAAACCTGGAAATTATTCTTTTACTTTAATATAGGGCCCTATGTTGTATTGTTTTTTCCTATTCTTTCCTTTTTATTATTTTATTTTCTAATCATATTTTTATGATTATACATTTTTTAATATTTTTATTTCTGACTTAAATGATGATACAGTTTCATGTTTATGCAATTTCTTTTAGACTATTCTACCCTTTCTAGTGCTTAGTGTACAAGTATTCTGACTTGTGTAGCCTCTGATTTCCTTTTTGCAGTGACTGCTTTATGGTGAGCTTCCTGTCAATTGAGCCTGCACTTTCTTTCCTGCGGGAATACCATTTGCCCAACTTGTAAGAATTCTAGCACATAGAGAGAGAAAAAAACTGACCCCATTCCCACGAGGCACACAGGTTGGGGGTTTGAGTATTCACAGTGCACGAATGTTTTCCCACCTAGAGCTCCAAAGGGAAGAGAAAGATTTCTAGCTGCCTCTCCTGCCTCGTAGGTAGAATTTTCTAGTGCCTGTTCTCCTATTTCACTGTCAGGGGACATTTCTAGAATCCAAGCTTAACAAAATTCAGTTCTAGTTTCCTTCTGCGAGTCCAAATCCTAGTTTCAAGTCCTAGAGAGGCCATTATGACTCCAAACTCTAATCCCCATTTTAGCACAAAAATACCCTTCCCGCTGTCCCCATGACAGTAGTTGCTCAGTTTTGTCGAGGTTACGCTTAACTGAGTTTTCCCTCTTTGGTCTGACATTAGAATTTTTCTTTATTTCCTGCATCCACATGATTATAAGTGCACTTGCTCTGTTTTATCCAGCATATTGTATTTGAAATGGCACGAATGGGAAAAGTGGTGCCCACTTTTCTAAGCACGGTATTTTACCAGAACTTTCTCATTTAAAACTCACAATAAAAATAAATTTAGGCCTGAACTTTTTCCTTAAAATGTTCACATACTCAGGGATATTTCTTTCTAATGAAAATTATAAAAACTCCCTTATATTATAGTGTGAGGGAATAAGTGTGCAAATGTTTACTGGTTAATATGCATTTTGGAGGTGAACACTTATATAGATATCATTTTATGTCTATTTAAGTCTCCAGTATCTTAGCTTCTCAGTAAAGTCTTACTTATTAAATAGCATTTGATCTATGTTGTTTTATATAATCTTTTGACACCTATGCCAAATTATGTTTTTGTAAAACAGAATGAGCTATCACATTTTATTCCAATTTAATAAATGTCTTTGCAGTATTTTCATTGTATTCGCATTTTGTTGAACACTGGGTATTTGTTATTCTTGTTAACAAGAGGCTATAGGCACTTAATTATATTATATTAGATGCACAAATATTGTGATATAATCCTTTTGCTGTATGCATATAATTTGTGGTTATTAAAATTATGTAGATATTTAATGAAACCTGTTTTTTCTGCAAGTTTTTATTCTAAGAAATTAGTTTATAAGAGCTTATATTCATCTATTTAAAATATCCAGTTGAAGGGCAACTATTTAATGATACTAGTTACTTCGTTTTTCCTTCTGTTTTATGATTTCTTAATTGCTGCTTATTATTGTGCTTTAATTATCTGTGTAGAGCCTCAAGTGGTTTTGTAGGAGGCGTTTTCCTATTAGGAATGTAATCACTCTGCGCAACACTGAGGCAGGCAGAGCACAGCAGCAGCTCCAGGAGCTTTCCCTCGGAGCTCTGCTAACGGCTGCAGCTCTCTCGCTCTAAACTTTCTCGCTATAGTTACCCAAGAGAATGAACACAATGGTGTCTGCCTCCCTCCCTCATGTTACTCTTTCCTTGCCAAGACCAGGCATCTCCACTGTATAAATGGTAGCTGTTTAAAAGCATTTTTGTCGTTTTAAAAAACTTTTTTTCAGTGTGATTTCCAATATTCTAGAAACTGGGAAAATTTCTCTTCCATTTTAATCTCAGCTTGGTCTGTCCTTAACTTGATCAAATGATAAAGATTCAAGATTTCTATGGAGCTTTGGAAAAGGAAGTAAGTACACATAGTGTATGTTTTGGTAAATATTAGAGAAGATTTACTAAGAGCCCATAGGATTCCTTCAAAAGACATATAGGGTGAAGAGGGGAGGTGTCCTTAACAAGCCATCTCCTATGGACTGCTACACAGTCTGGGTCAACTAGAGCAATTTTTACATTTCAGATAATATCTGAATGAAGTGTACTGGATCTAGAAAATTTACTATGTTGAAACACATAACAATTCCTTAACATGAACTGTGGACTTTCTGCCTGTTTACTGTCCAAGGTAAGTACTTAAATCACCCCTGATACATGACATATACCTATTATGTAACTATTATAATATTTAGCTTGATATTTTAGGCATTTGTGTCTCAAAAAATACACACTTAACATTAATACTAATATTTAATTCTTGAGTTATGGTTAATGTTTATATACACATGTACGCACATAACTAAGCATATCATTTATGCTGTTTAGATAAGACTAATGAAATAATAAAGAATTTATATTAATAAGGATCCATCTATGACTGAGAACAAAAAGAAGTAGAACAAAGAAAAAAAGTAACATTTCTTTTTACAGCAGTGTGACATGCTAAGTTTTCAATGGATTGTTTTCTCATCTAATTTAGCTAACGTCCTATCCAAACATTTGGTACTGATTACTATACCTAAAGGAAATCAGTTTTATCATTCAAGACTTGTGCATGCCTCTATGTTTCCTCTATGTGTGTAAGCTGCAGGTGTAATTTATCCTTTGGAGTTAACATGATGAGCTATTAGCTGAGCATGTACAATGAATAAAGTTACATTTCTGAAAGTACACTTGGGAGGAAATATTGAGCCTTTAATCTATTCCACTAGGGCTTCTTACATTTTTGGTAATTAAACGAAAGAGTTTGAATATGGTATTTTTTAGAGCTATCTGGGATCAAACTTCAGAAGATTAAAAATCCAGAATGAAACCCTTGACAGAATTATTTTCAGAATTAGAGACAAAGCTAGAGTAGATTTGAGTGTACTATGGTTTTAAAGGGCTACTATTTTTAGTGCTGTATAGTTTGAAATTACACTAGATTGGTGATGGGGAAAAAGCGTTTTTGTTTATAAAATGACACCAATTCTTAAGGTGACTTGTCCTCTGTGTATCTATTAGTTTTTAGACAAATGGCAGGTGCCTTGCTGCAGTGAACCAGGTATGTAAAGACACTTATAAGAATGCCACATATGGAATAGGTAATGGATATATACTGGAGAAGTTGTAATAATTGCTTAATGCCAGCAGACATATTAGAGAAGCCAAGGAACATGATCTTCAGTTTTGACAGTGGGATGTTACCGGAATAAACAATGTACCTTGCAGTTACAGGGTCCAAGACAAGGGTCTTCATTTGCACTTCCTTCGCCACTGCAGTTACAGGGTTTGCAGGCGGGGAAGCCAGTGTAGCCCCTGGCACACCGCTCACATCTCTTCCCTGCAAAACCAGGTTTGCAATGACAGGACCCAGGTTCCAGGCCTAAGAGAAGATGAGACACATAGCAACATTTTAAAGACAAATATATGATTTAGCTCTTATGGTTTTAATAATAGTAGCCTTTAAAAGTTCATTTTCACATAAAAATTAGATTCACGATGTACATCAGAAAAACAACAGTTAAAACCAAGGAATATAAGGTTTAATTAGAAGCTGGCTATGATTTGTATACATAGCCTTTTCTAATTATTTTTCAAAAATATTTAATAATTCACCATTTGAATATTAAAATATTTTTAATTTTTTAGGATTTAAAACTATATGGATTAAATTGATAATTCTGCAGTTTTGTGAAGAAAGCAGGTAAGCTAAACTGTGCCAAAGAAACACTGCCTTTGTGGGAAAAACCTATATTATAACCATGATGTATTTTAGTCTTTCCAAGGCAGAGAAGAATCCACTCTTAGAAATATAAAGAAACAGTTCCAGATATATTCTATGAATTTTCTACTTAACCTTGGCAAGCAACTCTCTGGTAGCTCCTCAACATTTTACAGCAAGGAGTTCATCATGAACTTCAATCCTCCAAGAAAGTATTTGGCTTAAACTGGTGCCAGCCTCTTTCCCTTCGTAAAATCATGACTAATACCTTTTATGTACACTTCTTGTTTTCCATATCTCCTCCAATTTCTCCCCATTACAGCATATACATTCTTCAATGAATGCTGTCATTTCATGATAGAAATGAAAGAAGCTACAAAAACTCTAATACCTAATAAGACATAAAAAGTGACATACACCACTGATTTTTGGTTAACAGAAGATGCATATGCATAGATATGTAAATATGAATATACATATATAATGCTAAACAAATTATTCAACTCTTGCTTTCAAAGCATTACAATTAAGCATAAAATTATTGAGGTGAAGGAAAAAATGCTTCTTGGAGAGAAATTTGAGAGATAGAAGAATAAATGTATTACATGAATGAAATTTACTGTAAAATATTCCCCTTAGGAATTAGATTTGGCTTTTGGTTGTCCTTTCATCAGGACGATGACCCCCTCCTATGGCCCTCACCTCGTGGAGCACGCTTTTCATCCTTGACACAGACCTCAGTGGAGGAGCCAACTGGATCACAATGGCATGGCTGGCAGGGTCCTGGATCACTTGGTGAAACCTAACCAAAACGTTACAATGTTTTTCATCAAGTGCAATAAAAACACCAATATTTTTAAATCCCACAAATTTTTAAGGACAGGTTAACTATTATAACACATAGTAATGAATTTTATAGAAAAGATTATAATATAAGAAATAACCTTTCCTGTGTGTGCAATTTCTAAAACGCATTTCTTCTAAATGTATAAACAAAAGCAAAGAGGACAGTGCAATAGACCCATATATGCTTGTTACCTAGATTTAACAATTATCAAGATTAATTACTCAACAGTTACCAAGGTTTTGCTATGAAGTTTCTTCAGACCTTATCCTTGGCTGAAGTTGTTAAAGAATATCCCGAATAAAGTGTATTTTAATCCTTACATGTTTCAGTATGCATCTCTTTCATTTACAACCACAGTATCATCACAACCAATGAAAATAATATTGGCTTAATATTCTCTAACAGACAAGTTTTAATAAAATCTTCTTTATGGTTTTGTTTTTTAAATTACAATATAGTTCAAAATTAGTAATTTCCCCTAAATTAATTTTAACAATGTTTTTACATCAATCATTGTATAATTCACTTTTTAAAACTTATATTTTATGCTTGAAAAAATATTATATATTGAAATTAAAACTTGGTTTTCTGAGGAGACAGTACAACCTGGGCAGAAACAATGTAGGCTCCATAATTAGGAAAACTGGAGCTCATATCCCAGTGTGGCCACTTACTGGCTATGTGGCCTCCTATAGCTTATTTACCCTGTTATAAAATGAGGGTAAAAATAACAACTACACTGATGTTATGAAATTAAAAAGAGGATTAACTTATAAGATTCCTCATATACATTAAATATTCCATATAACTCGTAGTTTTTAATGTTAGAGTATTTTAATTAAACAAATGTAGACTGCACTAATATACTGCAAAGACAATATTTTCAAAAAAAAGAGTAACCAAATTATTTGTCTAGGGAATGCTGAAATACTGCTGATATACACATGTACCCCTAAAATATAGCTGCTTATAGATATATATGACTAGGTTTAATTTACAAATGAAAACTTGTTTGCTAATAAAAGTCAAAATGTCGTAACTAGAGAGTTGTATACATGTCTGATAGAACAGCAATCAGTTGGCCACAGAACAGTTTCAAAATCCTTTGAAACAGTCACTCAGCCCTTATGAAGTAAGGACCATGCAAAGCAGGAAGCTAAGACCTGATCTCTGCCTTAAATGACTTGTAGGAATAACAGACCTGATAGACATTGATTAAACAGAATGTGCCAAGTGACGTAACAGACATACAGAGTATTGTGAGAAAAAAGAAGAGGAGGGATCACACCACACAATGAAGTAATCAGTGCTCCACAGAAAAAGTGACTTTTGGACTGGACCTGGAATAGTGAATAGCAATTTGAGAGTAGAAATGGAAGAAGAGCTTTCTACCCAGAAAAAAACAAACAAATAAACAAACAAATCCTACTGAGACATGAAAAAATCTGTGGTCATATGGCAAAAAATTTATTTTAGATAAAATATGGGCTCGTATAAAAATGATTTATGATTCCAAATCCTCCCAATTTATTATCCCTCCGTGGTAATTGGGGATAAGTGCCTGAATCACATTGTTGATCAGGAGAACTTCTAATATATCAGATTCTATAAATATATCTACTTTAACTTGACTTAATTTTATTAAAATAACGATCCAGATTACTAATTAGTCTACAAAGTAAACATTGATATGTATAAATACATGTGTATATATATTTACTTTAACTATTAAATATATGTGTTTAGTAAGTAAATCTAAATTCAGTTTTGAGATAATTTTAAGAATATCACATAAAGTTATTTAGCTGTAAAATTGCAATGCCAAGACTTTTCTTTCTATATCTTTATAAATATACAATAAACTTCTACCTAAATATTAAGCAGTTGAAAGATTTGATTTTCTTGATATGCAATGTCAAGAAATATTTTACAAGTATTAAAAAATATCAAAATCTACACAGATTTATTTAAGTACTTGATTTGTAATCAACACTTAATCAAGCTTCCAGCTTTGAAAATGGTGAAGTGTCTTATATGGATGCAGTGCACCATCAGATAGCAATTATAAATTCTGGAAAAAATATAAAATCAAATATTTGAAGGTTTGGGAGAATAATCTAAAAGAAGGCTGAAATTAGGAGGATTCAAGATTTGAAAAAAATGCACTAGATGAGATCCATGTTTATATAAGGGTAGCATCAAAATCGTCATGCCTGTATACCTCAAATGCTTAACTGATCCTTTAATTGTACATTTATTCAGGAGACATCAAGGAGCCCAGAGAAAAGCCATAGCGGAAAAGCTGAGGGAGCTGGGTAGAATTTTCAGGACTCCACACCACAAAGTAAACAAGAAGGAGTTGTCAACCAAGTTAGAAAGGTTAAAGACCTTGAGGTTCCTTTTTATGTGCCCTAACAAAATATAAAAGCAAACCTCCGTAATTTCATGGTGATCAAGTCAGAAAGTAGAAAAAAAGTCAAAAATCTTCAAAGGAAGATAACAATCATTTCTCAACACTGCATCAGTTACGATGTCCTGCATAAAACAAACTTACTAGACATAAGAAGAAACAGGAAGGTGCATTTTTTTTTTTTTTTTAAAGAAATCAATAAAAGCAAGATCTCTGCACTGAAAATACTGATGTGAATAATAAATAAGTGGGGAGACATACTACATTCATTGATTGAAAGACTCAATGTTTTAAAGTGTTAGTTTTCTCCATATTTGTTTTTAGAGTCTATAGAAAAATCCCAACAAGTATTTGTCACTGACAAGTTGATTTTAAAATTTGTATGGAAACATAAAGAAAGTATTATAGGCAAAATATTCCTCAAAAATGAAAAGAATAAAGTTGGTGCACTTATACTTCTGAGGTCTAGGCTTATAAAGCTAAAGTAATCAAGAACAGGACAAAAAGAAAGTATTATCCAAAAAAATCGCGCTGGATCAACAGGACCATTGCAGATCTCAATCATCATTTCCCACCACACACTAAAATTTACTTGTGTATGGGCCATACTCCTAAAGCTTAAAAATAAAATGTTTCTAGAATAAAGAACATCTTGCCTTAAGCAGACACTTTATAAGAGAAGATATAGGAATAGCAAATAAACACTTAAAAATGGAAATAAAATTTGTAGTGAGATCTGTTATGAACTCATAATAGAAGATCTGTTGTAGGACCAAGCATTGGTGGGCATGGTGATTCCCACCAGTTAGTGATTGTGAATTAGTGATTGTCAAATATCCACATGCCATTTCCACTACACCCACTGCCACTAGAGCTAATTCAAAAAGATCGACAACATCGAATATTAGGGATAATAGGAAAGAACTAGACCTCCCTTACATTTTTGGTGAACATGTACAATGTTATTACTAACTTGGCAAAATGTTGGCAGTTTCTTATAAAGTAAAATATATACCTATTTAGTGGAACAAACATTCTATTTCTAAATATTTACACAAAGTAAATAAAACATGACCACAAAAAGAGATATAAAATTGTTTTTACAGGAGCTAATCAAGAACAGAAATAACCCAAATATTTACCAACAGGATAATGGATTAATAATATTAATGAACACTATATAACAAATTAAAAAAAAGAGCTAGTGATGCACATACATGAATAAATATTAAAATGTTATATTGAATGAGAGAAGGAAAATGTTAAGATTTATTTTTATGACACTCAGAGGCACAACTAATTTATGTTCTAAAAATAAGAGCAGAGTTTAGGGATGGGATTGACTGGAATGTGGTACAATGGAACTTTCTGGAGAGATGGAAATGTTTTATATTTTATCTTCAAATATTTATATGTTTCCATTATGAAATGTTCCTGGTCATCTTTAAGAATTTGAAGTCTGTCAAAATTATTTTTCTATATAATACATCTTTGTATGAAAAAAAACATTTCTTGAAAGAAAAAGTATACTTTACCCCTTTTCCTCTGAAGAAGCCATCAATACATGTCTCACAGTTTATGCCAGCAGTGTTTTGGGTGCAGTTGATGCACACACCCCCTCCAATGTACTTTCCATATATATTTAAACTCAGATTTCTTCTGGCAACATTTTCATCATAATAGCATTCTTCAGCTTTCCCATGACAATTGCATGCTGCATTAGAAAAAAATTCATAAATATTAATTTCAGGTTTCAGAGATACTTTAAATCATTTTCTACTATATAATAGATTTTGTACTATATGAGGAAAAATATGTTTATATATATAATCAGTACAAAAGTATCTAAAATTATTTGTATTTGTTGGCTATATTAATAAATTCATACTTTTTAATGACACTTGAAATAATTAAAACATATAAATTAAACTGAATCATAAGAAATTGCCAATATTTCACTGATTTGATCTCACAAAACCAAAATTCTATATGGTTCAACCTACAATTTCCTATTTTGACAAATAAAATATTATTGAACTGTGACACAATTAACCTCCAGGTAATCTGTAATGAATAATTACTATAATCTCTGTGTTACATCCTATGGGTAAAAAAGGATGTTTAGAATATAGTTCCTTTCTTTTACTACTACTACTAATGAAAATTTAGCATTTTTATATATGCCATGTTCTCTTTTAAGTGTTTTATATTTATTACCACTGATTTTTATTCTCAAAATAGCTTATGAGTCTGGTACTGTTGTTAATCTCTTTGCACATATTAGTAACCTGAGGCACCGAGAAGCGAAGTAACTTGTAAAAGGAAACCAGCTGAGCGGTGCCAACCGCTGGGAGGCTGGGCTCCAGGGCCTGCCGAGCCAACTGCCGCTGCGACCCCTTCGAGCTCTTTCCCACGCGAGAAGCGCATGGCAACTGCCACACAATCAGGACAAAATGGGAGCTTTGTCTAGTGGCGGAGAGCAAGCTGCTTTGCACCAGACGTGGATCTGGTTGTCCTCTCCACTACCTTGTAGTCACGTGTTATAGGAAACTTCTTAATTTCTCTAGGCATCAGTTTCCACATAAGACACGAGTGGCCAATAATAATGATCAGCTATTTAAAAGAGTTAGGTAAGAAACTGCGTGTAAAATCATTAGCACAACGCCTTGTAAATAAGCTCTCAGTCCCCTTTCCCCCTCCCTCCTCGCCTTCTCTGCTTTCTTTTCCTTCGTGGTGTCACTTTATAAGAGTTCAGGAAAGTGAAAAAAATCACTTCTCCAGAAAGAACTGGGCAAAGCTCTGAAAACTGGATAGAACTGATTTAGAATGGGAACTCGGGAAAAGATGTCATGCTGAGTGTCCTTCCCCAGATATTGAATTTCATAGGCGTCCTTACATTGATTTCCACATATATACAAGTGTGTGTGTTTGTTTGTGTGTGTGTGTGTGTGCGCGCGCGCATACACGGGCGCACATGCGCCCATGATCAATTTTTTTTCCTGCAAAAGGGGACATTTAAATACTGTTCTAAACTGTTTCATTTTACCAACAGTAAATATCATAGCTCTTTCCCTATTAGCATATGTTTCCCCTAAGGCTACACGGGTTACTTCTTGACTGGTGGTATTTATCAGGTCACTATTAATGGGCAGTTCCATTGTTTCCACATTTCTCCTTTGTAAATAACACTGGTACACACTAGGAGGACCCCGAGATGGGAGTAGGAGTGGTGTTCTAGTGTTTAGACTGCTTCACATTTGCCAAATGAGTTACTTTGAAGAGAAAATTCAAGCCTTAGTATCATTGCTGTACTTAACTCTTTAGGTGCTTTTAAAGAACACAATACACCCTAACACAATGCCTGAGCCACAGTTACTACTGAAATCCATAAGTGTTAGTAACAGTAGAGTGAGCAATTGTGTACTAATGACAAGGATTATGACAATATGCCCTGTATGGCTATATGATATATCTGTAGGCTAGATTCCTGCAAGTATACATTCTAGTCAAAAGGCATGCAAAATTTTAATGAGCTTGAAAAATTCTCCAAAAATGCTGAGTCAAATTATTCTCTCTCCAATAGATATGATGAAACTCTTTCCCCATAAGCCTCACCAACACTACATATTAGCAAACATTTTAATCCAGTTTCTGGACATAGTAAGTATCCAAACATTTGTTGAGTGGAAGAATGAACATTTTGAGAGAGTATTTTCATTGTTGTAATTGGTACTTTCTTAATTAAGAGTAAGTGTGATCATCTTTTCTATATGGTTATAACTAATTTCTCTTCCTGAGAAATACCTGTTTTCACTTTTTCTCATTTTTAGCAGGTTTATTAACATTTTATTACTACTAGGTAAGATCTCTTAATATGATAAGGATATTATCCCCTTGTTTTGTTTGTTGTCTGCTTTCTCCAGTCTGTTGACTTGATTTAGAATATAGCATTTTTGCTATATTGATGGAGAGTTTTCAAAGTTTACTCTAGAAAAGGTGTAGTAATAAATATATGTCAGTAGGCTTTAAAAACAATTTTATATCTTTAGGACAATGCATAAGAATTCTTTAAAATATTGTTGTAAAAATACATTGCAAGAAGCAGTCAAAATTTCTGCTGTCAATATAAGTAGAGGGAAATAGAGAGTAATACAAATTTATTCTCACACTACCTAGAATTAGTGCTGCTGAGAGTGTTTATAATCATGAGCTAATGTAGGTAACACACGGAGGCCTGAACAGCAACCATTTTCACACTGCATGTAGAGAGGTCCCTCATCCTACAGCCCTGGTAGCTGTTAAGGCCGAGCCTGCACAGCCTCAGAGGACATAGATAGCGCTCACTCCCAGAGCCATTGTTGTTAGGCCAACAGCAGTTTGCTATTTCATAGAATACCCAAGACACAAAACTGAAACTGTCCTTTAGTACACGCTTAGCAATAAAATTAATATTCTTTGCTCTTTAGACATGTATAATGCCTTGAATAAACTAGACTGATGAAAATTCAAATTAAACTCAAATAAATTAAAAGGCAATTATTCATTTTATAGAAAGATTTGTCATGTCATGAAAGGATTTTTCTAAATATTAAGGAGACTGGAAAGGAAAAAAAAATAAGGCAACTGGAACATAATGCAACTTGGAAAAGAAAATTTTCATATAAGCTTTTAGGAATGCATACATTGTCTAAAACATGACATTTATGTAAGGTTTTATGGTCAAGACCCCTATCTTTAATTTATGGTTTAAAAAAATACATTTATTTTTCTATTTGGAAATACAACTTCCCATTTGGCTCACAAAGAGAGATAAAATTGTTTCATAATTGCACTATTTTAAAAAATGTGTCTAGTAGCAAGTGGAAAACTCCTTTGAGGTTGCTTTGTCCACCCCTGATGCTAACAAGTTTGACCTAACCTTTTTGTTTCCTTGTTGAAACACATAGACACAAGTAGAGAGTGGTAAAGGGTTTTGCAGAGGCACTGAACATTATGTAATTATAACTGTGATAAAATATCAGAGGCATCAGGGAGAATCACTACTCTCAAATGCTACTCCCACTTTTGATTGCTGATATTTCTACACGCAGAGGAGAAATTTAATTAAAATTTAAAGACACTTGAGAGCAAATATCCATGGGTGGCAGTTAACTTAAATTCACTCATAGGCATGAATGTCTGCTCTCATTG